AAAAAAAAAAAAAAAAAAAAAAAAAAAGCATACCTCAAAAGAGTGAAACCTAAAATACAAACCCCTTTGCTGCCCTTCTTTTATTAAGCAATACTTTTAATGTTGATTGCAAGATCCCTGGATAAATAAATACAAACCTCAGCAACTTTCTGTGACTCTGAAGCAACTCTTTGCACCGTTGTAAAACAGATGTTGAATTCTTGAATGATGGAAGGATATAAACTGTTGAAGTCCAAGAGCAAAATGAACTTATCATAAAAACCTGAAATTTTTTAAACAAAGTCACATGATGCCATTTAAAAACTCTAAACTTTAAAAGCACTATCAAAACATCACATACTGGTAAGTATAGAAAAAAATTATACACTATCCAACACTGAAAAGCAGAAAAAATGTAAAAAGAATGTCAACTGCCACTCCATAAATGATTAGGGTTAGAATGAAAACTCAAATCACACGAGAAAAAGGATCGAAAGATTCTGTCTTTTCTTGGAACCAACTACAACCACTACCATAGTCCCAAAGCATACCCTTATTATGGAAAAACACCATCCCATGTCAATCATTTTAGAAAGTTATCTTATCCATTTCAGAATTAATGCAGTTAAATTCTTCTCCAAACAAGCATTCCTTCTACCTATTCACCCACTCACACCACAAATAAAAACACAGTGATTATAGTTTTTTATCCCCATTTTCAAAGCATAAAATGTGAAGATCATTGACCTATACACAAACTATACTTAATACTAGGCGAGAGACATAACATTTAAATGTCAGTAGTGGAACGATCCATCCTTTTTACTTAAAAAGGCTGAACAGAAAGCTACAGTATTTCTCTAGGACATTTACAAAGAGTTGTCTTCATTTCAAGAAGAAACTGAACAAAATTAAATGTCCATTATTAAGACAGTAGTAACACTGGGCACCAGCAGCTCACGCCTGTAATCCTAACTATACAGAAGGCTGAGCTCTGAGGATAGCAGTTCAAAGCCAACCTAGGCAGAAAAGTCTCCATGAGACTCTTATCTCCAATAAACTACTCAAAAAAGCCGAAGTGGCACTGTGGCTCAAGTGGTAGAGTGCTTGTCTTGAGCACAAAGAGGCTCAGGGACTGAGTTCAAGCCCCAGGATAGGCCAAAAAAAAAAGTAGTAAATGCAAACATATTAACACATTTAGTACTCTCTATCACCATCAAACCAACCAACCCATTTATTCTTTAAATACCTCTGTGGTAAATATCTCCATTTTACAAAAGAGGAAACTGAATCTTACAATGGTTAACTCTAAGATCAGCACCCAAGACAGTAACTAATGCCTGAAGTACTACCACTTCATATCGTTACAACTTACAATAAAGTTGACTTAGTCAAAAATGACTCCTACTCAGATTTAACATTAATAAAATTCACATTAACTTCTGTACAATAATGTAAAGATACTTAATACTACTATTTAATCATATACTTTGAAATGGTTAAAAAAAAATAGAAAATCTTTTCTTATGTCTTGAGACAGCCACAAATAGCTCATGCCTGTAATCCTAGCTACTCAGTAGGCTGAGATGTGAGGAACCTATTTCAAAGCCAGTCCAGGCAGGAAACTCCTTGAGACTCTTATCTCCAATTAACCATCAAAAAGCTAGAAGCAGAGCTGTGACTCAAGTGGTAGAGTAGCCTTAAGCAAAAACCTAAAGGACAGAACCCAGGGCTCTGAGTTCACACCCAGTATTGGCACAAAAAAATATCACTTCTAGCTTTGTGTAAAGTATCTTCCTTGCTATTCTTGATAACAGAGAAGTTGTTCTGTGAAAGGTTCATTTTGGTAGTTAGTGTCTTTGGTAGAAAGTGGTCCTGGTGCCTGGGGCAGAAGCACAGCCCACCCAGAATAAGGGAAGAAGGCAGAGGTAGACATGCTGCTACCACAGAACCAAGAGGGACTGGCAAACTGTGTGGAGATTAAAATATAACCTACCACCTGTTTCGATATTACTCACATAAGCTTAAGAGTTTTTTCATCTTTAGATAAAGTATTTCAAATTATAAAAAAAATTATAGAAAATTTGTATTTTACTGTCCATGAATACAACTATAGCACAGTGAAAAATATTCACATTGCTGGCTGCCGGTGGCTCACACCTGTAATCCTAACTACCCAAGAGGCTAAGATCTAAGGACTACAGTTTGAAGCCAGCACACGCAGGAAAGTCTGTAAGACTCTATCTCCAATAAACCACCTAAAAACTGGAAGTGGAAGATAATTAGCCTTGAGCAAAAAAGCTCAGGGACATCATGCAGGTCCTGAATTCAAGCCCTATGACCAACAAAAAAAAATTCACATTAATTTCAAGTTAGGAATTTCATGTTCATAAAAGATAAAAATAAGACCTTTGTGAGACTTATTTAATGACCTCCATGATATAATCCCAGTCTTCTAGTTTCTAATCCTAGCTCTGTATGATGAGATTTCTTAATATCAGGACAAACAAATCAGCCTTACCAACTTTGGGGTCCAAAACCAAGCCACCAGCATAAGCTGCTTTCTTACGTCCTTTCTTATGAGTATCTCCATCAAATTCTTCATCTTCATCTCCCTAATATCAAATGGAAAGATAACTTCACTGGCCAGCAACTAGTTAACTGATTAAGAAGTTTTATCATTCCCTCTTTTCCAACTGCAATACTCACATTTCACAAAAATTATTTACTTTTAGTATTTTGTGCTCAAAGTAAATAATTTCTGTTAGACCTACCTGTGGGGAAAGTATTCGTGTATGGTCATTCATAAATGAATGTTCAAATATGATACTTTCCTAAACAAATACCTACCTCTGAGTTAACAATATGCAAATTCTATTTTTAAACACTTCTGTAAATCCTAGCTACTTGGGACACTGAAACTAGAAGGACGGTGAGTCAGAGCTAGCCCAGGCAAAAAGTTCACAGGAACATTTCTCAACCCATAAAAAGCTGAGCATGATGGTACACACGTCCTTCCAGGTATGTCAGAAGCATCAATAGTAGAGTCATGATCCAGGCTGGCTGGGCAAAAAGCAAGAAACCATTCAAAGTAAAAACCCAGCAAAAAGGGTAGAGGTATGGCCCAAGTGACAGAACACTTATCTAACCAACACAAGGCCCTGAGTTCAAACCCCAGTACCACCCAAAAACTTTAGATGTGAAATCAATAGCTATTAAAATACTAATTTTGTATTATACAAATTTTTAGATTATAAAGGAACACTTAAATTCATCATTCTCAGAGCTGGCCAGTGGCTCATTCCTGCAATTCCTGCTACTCAGGAAGCAGAAATCACCAGGATAATCATATTTCAAGGCAAGCCTGAGTAAAAACCTAGACCTCATCTCAACAAATAAGTCAGGCAATAGTGGTCTACATGTTTGGTGCCAGCTTTGCAAGAGGCTAAGAGTAGGAGGACTGCAGTTCGAGACCAATCCAGAAGAAAAGGTTAGGAAGATCCTATCTCAAAATATAAGCTGGACTTTAACATTCCATTCTGACCCTGAATTAATTAGTACTAAAGCTAATAAAAACAGGAACTATAATCCAATGTCAGGAAAGCCACTCCAGAGATCTTACTGTGGAGATCATAATCATACAAACTGAGTGTCCCCAATCTGAAGTGTGAAATGCTTTAAAATTTGGAATTTTTTTCAATATCACAATATAAACCAGAAAATCCACACTTGATCCTCTTGTGACTGATCTTTTAAAAATATTGTGTAAAATGGCATTCAAGTTCTAATGTATAAGGTATATGTGAAACATAAATAAATTTCATGTTCAGACTTGCATCCACACCCAAGATTCTTCATTAGATATATGCATATATCTCACAATCCAAAAATCTTAAATTTGAAACACTTCTAATCCAAGCATTTTAGATCAGATATACTCAACATGGACAGAAAAATGTAGCACAAAAATGAAGGCTTCTAGCCAAGGTACCAGTATCTCATGCCTGTAATCCTAGCTGCTCAATCTGAAGGTCTTAGTTCAAAGCCAGGTCAGACAAGAAAAGTCCATGGGAAGCTTATCTCCAACTAAACACCAAAAGGGCAGAAGTAAAGCTGTGGCTTAAATGGTAGAACACCAGCTTTGAGGAAAAAAGCTAAGGGACAGTGCCAAGAACTTGAGTTCAAGCTCTAATCACCAAGAAAAAAAAATGAATGAATAAAGAGTCCTAGATTTAAGGAAATGAAAGGTTTACCCTTGGGCTTATGTGTGAAAGCACTTTCTGTATTAGTCACCTGTCAGAGAGGTCTAATGACACCCTCAAAGAATAGCATGTTTCACAAATAATTTTTGCCTGTCCAGAAGGGGCAGAAAAAACAACAACAAGAAAACAGCCATACAAGCACAATGGAACAAACCTGGCATGGCTTATAGTATATAGGGGTTGAATATCTTGGAAACAGATGTTATCACAGATAAAAAAGGCATTTAGGTAATAAAAAAAGAAGAATAGGAAAAGGCAAAATACCATGCAATTTTTGACCCACCAGTTTTTGCTGAGGTTTTCTGAAATTCTGTTTGTCAGGCACAATATAGTTGTTTTCATAAAATGCATGAAGCAACAAGAATTCATTTCGCTCAGATCGTCCACCCATCAGTGTCCTAGACTATTAAACAGAATTTCTTTGTTTAAAAATTTGAGCATGAAATCATAATAAACAAAAGCAGTTCTGAGTCAGTTAATTTAATCATGGTACCACCCTTAAAACCACTCCTAGTAAGAAAGGCTTCATTTTGCTAAATTATTTCTAACATGTTCCTTAAGCATTATAGTTAAGGGAGACAAAGAGGGCTTAAAATATCAACAGCTTGGCTATTTCCTTACTTCCCAATGGAGCATCCACCAAATACACACTTCCGGATGTTAGAGAGATGATCTTTATATTCACCCAAATTCAACACACTGCACCTGGCATTCCTCCCTTTCCCCAACTAGTTGTTCTTTTTACAAAAGAAGTCCAGCTTTCAGAACCAAGTTACTCATTTTATAACCATGCATTTAGTCTCATTATCATATAACAACTACCCCAAGCAAACACTGAATCCAACAGGAAATGCTTTTTCCCCATTTCTAAGTTAAATTTACCATAATGTTCCCAGCGATGTTAGTGATCTGCAATGCTAATGGAAGAACATTTAGCTCACACATGATCTGCAAAATGAACCTGGCATCTTTCCAGGTGTGTTCCAACAGGTACAACAGATGAGAAGATTCACTGTACAGAAAAGTAAGAATGAAACAGAATCAAGTAATTAAAAGAAACAATGACTATAATCAGAACTTCATAAAATATTACAAAGAATTTTTGGTATAAGTAACTGTAGAGCTACAGCACCTTGGCTTTGGAAGCAATTTAAAACAAGGTTGGTATGTAATTAGGAATGCATTCATACCACTGATCCCTGTGCCCTTCTCTGAAACACACAAAAAAAAAAATCCATAAAGTGAAATTATGTGTTAACTACAACCTTGAAACTGCCTAAGTCTTTTCATTCATGCTGTCAAATATATACTGCATGCCTACTTAATGTCAAGCACTGGCTGCTACAAGTACAACTGAAATATCCTGTCCTTGTGGAGCTTATGTCCCTATGGGGAAGACAGAGTTCAAAAAAAAAAGAAGTTAAATGTGTAGTATTTTGCATCAAGAACTGACACTGATCAAGCCTCCTGACTGACCAAAAAAAAAAAAAAAAAAAGAACTGACACTGCACGTTTATGGAGGAAACTGGAAAACTTTACTGACAACAAAGACCTAGAAGAGGTAAAGGACCAAGCTTGTGGATGAGTATGTGAGAAAAATACATTCCAGACAGATAACAGCATATTCAAAGGCCCCAACTCAGGTACAGATCTGGTACCCCGTTCCAGAAGCCAGAAGGAAATCAGTATGGCTAAAGAAGACAAAAAGCTGTAAAGAACAGTAGGAAATTAGGACATGGTTAACAGCATAGAGAAACTTTGTATAGGACCATATAGGCCAAAATGAGGACCCTATTTTTTAACTTTGAAATAGTCACTGGGAGATTTTGAAAGATTTAATTTTAGTGGGATAACTGGTCCTGAATTTAAAATAGACTACAATAGCTGAACACCAGTGGCTCATGCCTGTAATCCCAGCAACTCAGGAGGTAGATTTCACTGAGGGGATTTCACGTTTAAGGCCATCCTAGGCGAAAAAAATGTTTCAAGACTCCATTTCAATCAAAAAGCCAGGCATGGTGGTTTGTGTCTATGGTCTCAGCTACATGGGAGACTGTAGGTTGAAGGGTTGCAATCTGTGGATAGCCTGGGTCCTAATGCAAGACCTTACCTAAAAATAACTAAAGGGATGGAGGTGTGGCTTAGGTCACAGAGTCTCTACCTATGAGGCCCTGAGCTCAAACTCCAATACTGCCAAAAAACAAATCACAAGGGGGCAAGGGCAAAAGCAAAATATTAGTATATGAGAATATGACTTGTTCCTTGTGAAACTCATGATGGAGTTTAATCCTCATTATTTTATTACTACAAGAGTAGAAGCAGAAATAGTAGCGTATTTACAGATGGGACACAAAGGAGTGGTAGCATCTCCCTGTAATCCCAGTTAGGATGGAGGCATAAGTAGGGGACTACAGTCTAAGGCTGGAGCCCAGGCAAAACCTTACAACCCTAACTGAAAAATTAAAGCAAAAAAAAAAAGATGAGGGCATGGTTCAAATGGTAGAGTGCCTGCCTAGTAAGCACAAGGCTCTGTGCTCAAACCCCAGTATCAATAATTAATTGATATCTCATGATTGAATACTATTGGCTCTCTAGTAAGAGACCAGAATATATACACATGTGCTCTGTGCCTCATATCACATGATGCCCAATACTACCTCAGATGCTTACAGCAAAGATCACCACTAATTGAGGCCTCTAAATCCCAGATGTCCGAAATTGTAAGCCAAAACAAACCTCCTTTCTAATTTATCCAGTATGTGTTGTTGTGTTTATTATCACCAAAAAATGAATAAAGATATCCAGTAATCCAGGGGAAGAGATACGAGAAGTGGTCAAAGCCACATATATTTAGAAAGTCAATAATACAACTACTTAAAGATAATAAAAATAGCTGGGAAGGTGGCTCAGTGGGAGAGCGCATGCCTTGCATGCCAGAGGCCCTGGGTTCAATTCCCCAGCACCACATAAATAAAAAGAAAAAAGCCGGAAGTGGCGCTGTGGCTCAAGTGGTTGAGCGCTAGCCTTGAGCTGAAGAGCTCAGGGACAGCGCCCAGGCCCAGAGTTCAGGCCCCATGACCGGACCCAAAAAAAAAAAAAAAAGATAATAAAAATAGGGGCTGAGAAGGTGGCTCGGTGGTAGAGTGCTTGCCTTGCATGCATGAGGCCCTGGGTTTGATTCCTCAGCACCACATAAGCAGAAAAAAACGAAGTGGAGCTGTGGCTCAAGTGGTAGAGCCCTAGCCTTGAGCTGAAGAGCTGAGGGACAGCGCCCAGGCCCAGAGTTCAGGCCCCACAACCGGCAAAAAAAAAAAAAAAAAAAGATAATTAAAATATATCAAAAAAAAATAAGTACAGCAGAAGAAAATTTCAAAAGAAGTTGAGCTGGCAATATTCTGATGAATTCTGAGGAATCCAGGATCATACCTGTACATATTCCGTACATTCTCCATTGGAATTACAACCCTTTCTGTTTTCAGAATCTGTTGAACCAGGTCTGTTAAATGGTAGCTTTTACAGTGAATCAATTCCTTGGCTGAAATTTCCACATCACAAATCATTCGGCCACAGGTAGCATTTCTTTCACCAAATCCACTCCGGCTCTACAAGACAGAGAAAAAGGATAATGAAGAAACCCTTCTTCCATTTACCAATCAAATATTTTTGAACACTTACTATATATCAGATATTGTTCTAGGCACTCTGGATATAGTAGTGAGCAAAACAGAAAAGATTCGATTTGGTTTTTTTATTGCAATAAAAAAAAAAAAAAACAGCATAGGACTGGAAATGTGGCCTAGTAGTAGAGTGCTTGCCTAGCATGCAAGAAGCCCTGATTCCTCAGAACCATATAAACATAAAAGGCCAGAAGGGGTGCTGTGGCTTAAATGGTAGAGTGCTACCCTTGAGCAAAAGAAACTCAGGGACAGTGCCCAGGCCCTGAGTTCAAGGCCCAGGACTAGCAATAAATAAATAAATAAATAAATAAGCAGGCAAGCATAGATCTGCTTATCACCAATGCAAGGCCCTTAGTTCAAACCCCAGTAACACAAAAAAAGAAAACCAGCAAACACAAGAAATGTTACAGCTAGGGCTGGGAAGGTGGCTCAGTGGTAGAGCGCTTGCCTTGCATGCCTGAAGCCCTGGGTTCAATTCTTCAGCACCACATAAGCAAAAAGAAAAAAGCCGGAAGTGGCGCTGTGGCTCAAGTGGTAGAGTGCTAGCCTTGAGCTGAAGAGCTGAGGGACAGTGCCAAGGCCCAGAGTTCAGGCCCCACAACCGGACCCCCCCCCCCCCCAAAAAAAAAGAAAAGAAATTTTACAGCTTTAGGAGGTAATACGCAGATGACAAAGAAGGAAAATAAAGCAGGGTGAGATGGAAAAGGACTTCGAAGGGACTGCATTTTAAATAGAGCGCTCAGGGTAGGCCTTACAAAGAAAAAAAAACGAAGTATTTGGATGAAGTGCTAGTAACTACCGGCCTACCATAAAAATAGTAACAAGAAAAGCAAGAACAGCCGGGCGCTGGTGGCTCACGCCTGTAATCCTAGCTACTCAGGAGGCTGAGATCTGAGGATCGCGGTTCAAAACCAGCCCAGGCAGGAGAGACCGTGAGACTCCTATCTCCAATAAACCACCAGAAAACCAGAAGTGGCGCTGTAGCTCAAGTGGTAGAGCGCTCGCCTTGAGCTGAAGAGCTGAGGGACAGCGCCCAGGCCCAGAGTTCAAGCCCCACGACCGACAAAAAAAAGAAAAGAAAAGAAAAGAAAAAACAATAGCTCCAAAGATGATCAAACTAAATTCACTTGAAGAATGGCTCAAGTGGTATCATGCCTGTCAAGCAAGTATAAGGCCCTGACTTTAAGTTCCAATACTGCCAAAAGAAAAAGAAAAGGTCATGGGGCTTGAACTGAGAGCCTCACACTGACTCACCATCCTTGCTCACTCAGCTGGTGCTCTACCATTTAATTCGCATCTCCAATCTAGGTTTTTGCTGATTATTTTGGAGGCGAAATCTCACAGACTTTTCTGCCTGGGTTGGATCCAAACCACAGTCCTTTGAATCTCAGTCTTCTGAGTAGCTAGGATTATAGGCCTAAGTTGCTGGCACCATACTTCATTGGTGTCTCATAGCTCCTTTGCATTCATTCCATCTTCTTCTGAGTAATAGTGACTTCTGAAGCCTCCGGCCCTGTCGTGAGGACTATCACTTTAGAAATGCCAAAGAAAAGCTAAAATGGCATTCTATCTTTGTTTACTATTCCAAGATTTAATTGTTAATTTAAAAAACTACCAATGGACCAGGTGCTGATAGCTCATACCTTTAATCTGAACTACTCACAAGGTTCAGATACGAGGATCACAGTTCAAACCCAGCTCAAGAAAGACTTGAGACTCTTATCTCCAATTGACCACCAAAAAGCTGAAAGTGGAGCTATCACTCAAGTGGAAAGCACTAGCCTTGAGGGAAAAAAAAAAAACCAGGACCAACACAATAAAGAAAAAAGAAACTACCAATGGCTTTTACAAATAAAATACTGTATTCAAAGGAAGCTATGTTTAGTGCCAAAGTTATAATAGCACTATGGGGAAGGAGGAGTAAAACAAAAATAAAATGAATGAATGAATGAGAGTTGAAGAACCTCTAAATAAAATGATAGACTTAGCCAGGTGCCAGTGGCTTACACTTGTAATCCTAGCTACTCTGAGGATCACAATTCAAAGCCAGTCCAGGCATAAAAGTCTCCATGAGATTCTTATCTCCAATTAACCACTCAAAAACCAGAAGTGGAGCTGTGGATCAAAGTGGTAGAGTGCTAGCCTTGAGAAAGAAAGCTCAGGGACAGCCTCCAGGCCCTGATTCAAGCCTCACAACTGACAAAAATAAAAATAAAAAATAGAACTAAATAAAATGATAGACTTCTAATTCTGTTCATGTTTGTGAGTTCAAATTTTTTTCATTAATCAACATGATTGTTATACTATAATAGTTTATATAAGGAAAAAAAAGGGTAAATAGATCATCTTTTCTCTTTCATTATCAATTATCCAAATAGGAGGTTGGAACCAACAATACAAATAGTATCAAATGTTCTTTAAGTGTTTGTTTGCTTGTTCCGGTTGTTACTATTTTATGGCATATCCTGTAACAAAATAAAGAAATCCTATTTCAAAAATATAGTGTTCTATGGTAGCTATCACATATTTTTAAAAGCCAAACTAAGCCAGGTGCTCAGGCTCACGCATGAAATCCTAGCCAATCAGGAAGCTGAGATCTGAGGATCGCAGTTCAAATCCAAACCAGGCAAGAAAGTCTGCTGTGGGCCTCTTACCTCAATAAACTACTCAGAAAAAGCTGGAATTAGTGCTGTGGTAGAACACGAGCCTTGAAAACAAAGAGGCTCAGGGACAGCGCCCAAGTCCCTAGTTTGGCAAAATAAATTTAACAAAATAAAATGATTTTTCAAAATTATTACCCCAAGCTTTGGCATAGTGGATCGTTTCAGCCGACTGATCTTGGACCAGTGAGGAACTTTGGACACATTAATTCTCTGCAGGAGCACTTCCAGTTCAAACCCATAAATATTATGACCCTAGTTAGAAAAAAGAAGGCAGCCAGTAATATTTGAACAAATGCAAATTAGAAGAGTTTATCTTCAAATGCACAGGATTTCTTTGCCCTTTCTTTTCCTGGTCTCTAATTGAAGACATCACGAGCCTACCTCCGATTGGGGGTCCTTTCTTCTTCAGGAATTTATTCATCAGCAGCATTCATTAGCTTTGACATTAACAAGGCTGCTAAACAGATTGCTGGAATAAACTTTATTTCATACTAATTGAGACAAGGTTCATATGATTTCTTTTAATTTGCAGTTCATGCCTCATAATGTCGGAGGCAAATGCAAATTTTAATGCCCCATACCTTTTCCATATCAGTAAATGCTCTTCAAACAATTTCATTTTGCTTCCCTGAGAACAGAAATCTGCCTGTGTGATAGATATATCACTTCATATAAAAGTTCTTAGAAAACTCAGGAACCACGTGCTGTTTCAACTGTGAAAACTGAGTTCCAATACTATTGATTTAGATCTTTAATGAGCAAAAATTTAATATATAATACCAGTGAACAGTTCAAATAAGAAACTTGAAACCAGGGAACAAAACTATACAGGACAGAAATAACTCAAAAATGTAACCAGAGTTTACATTCCTATAATTATTTCCATTTTCCTTGTGAATAACATTACTCACATGACATGCTTAGTCAAAATTTGCTGAGCAGTACATTAGATTAGTACATAACTTTGTTCCTAAGTTCAATTAAAAATATACACCACCACTTAGAATAGATAAAATCACACTGATGGAGATTAGAGTGGTGGTTGCTGGGGCTAAAGAAAGAGCGACTAAAAGGTACAGAGTTTTAGTTTTCAGAAGAGGAACAGTTACGGAGATGGTGATGGTATAAACGTGGCAATAGTTGCACAACATTATAAAGGTAGTTACTAACATAAATTGTACACTTAAAGGTAGTTTATTCTATGTTATAGGTACTCTGCCAAGATATAAAGATACACCCAAACATACACACATATACACAGTAGTACTATCTATTAAAAGACCCAATGGACATAGTTTCATTTCTAAATTATCCAAGATCAGGCATCCAAGCCATGCCAGGGTTTCTATCTTACATGTGGGTTTCTCACACACAGAGACATAGCTTTAATACCCTTAAGCTGGGCTCTGTGACATCCCCTTGGTGTTCAAGATACAGTTATTAGAGGCAAGGTGCTGAACCAAAGAACTATGAATAGAATCTCCTTGGTGTCTTAAAGATGGATCCTGAAATAATGTAAGGGAAGTAAGTGGGTGCAGACATTTGTAGCAATCCACATACTTTTAGGCCTTTCCACCAACAGAAAAGGGATCCAACAGGAAAAATGAACCTGAATTATAGGGCAAACATTTCAGTAAGGCTTCAATGTAACCAAATTACTCATACTACATTTAAAATATAGGCACTTACAATCTCTTAGCTCTGAAAAAGCAAACTAACTCTTGACAGATCCATTAATTCAAATAAAAGACAAAAGGATACCTATCAAAAAAGCCTACAAACAAGGGAGGCTAGAAGATGCAAAAGAGAAAAATGTTACTGTATGACTCCTAGGAAATGGATCATGCTCTCTCAATGAATTATTAGTTTACACTATCTAGTGGAAACATACCAGATTGTCAAGGGGAAAAAAAAAAATCTAGCCCTGAGCCCTCAAAAGAATGTATCATACAGATCCACTGCACTCATAAAATACTTGAATTAGTTTCTGTCACCACTAGACAACTGGCTACTAACCAAAAATTCTGAAGATACTAACAGTCTATGCAGTTGTTAACTGATATGCTGCTTTCTAATGAATGGAGTATCATACACTGTAATAGTAATTCAGAGGATGCTTTTATATTAGAAAAAAAAATTACAATGGGCTAAGATGTTTTCCTCTTTCTATTAGCAGGAAGTACAACAATTCCCACCAGTCCATAGGGTCTGAAAAGATTCTTTAGTCCTCAGAAGTAAACAGCCAATAATTTAGATTAACGAAGTCACCCTGAAAAGAATTAAGAAATGAAGAGCTTCCCCACAACACAGATCAAACATCTACTCACCACAATGACATCAGGATCAATTTTGTGAACTTTTGCAAGGAAAAAACCTAGCAATGTTCTTTCTGTTGTAGCAACCTCAACCTTCACATTCTGTTAGATAGAAACATACTTGTCACTGACTCTTTTAAGTACTATGCCTTTGCTTCTTGTTCAAGCAGACTAAGATTTCTTAGGGCTAAATGCAATGCCTATTTCAAAACTAAATGCAGCAGTGAAATTTCTGATTCTGTTTATTATTGTAATAACAATTTCACAAGGTCTCTGAGGAGCTCATCCTAATAATATGCTGTGAAAACACAAAATTTTAAGTGCTAAGCAACATTAAGAACAGAAATGTCCTTCCACAGAGACATATTTGTGCATTGGACACATTTTAAAGCATATAAATCAGAGTACCTTTCAAAAATACCACTTTGCCATATAATCCCTGGTAGACTTCACTGTTTTTGTATTTATCAGGCAACGAAATCCCAAGAACTGTATAAACTAATCTCAAATAGCGGTGTAAGAATCAATAAATAAGAAACTGCAAGTGCCTTAAGAATAAATAAAATTTATCTTCACACAAAGGCTTCCATTTAGATTACTAAATATAAATTAGATATTCAGAAAATATATTATGAAACTCTTCAAATGAAAGTTGATGGCTCTTATGTTTTGTAACATGAACTCAGTTTTTAAAAAATGTCAGCTTGACTCTAAGAATTTTCCTGTAATTTTATTTGACTAAGTACTTCAGGGCATGACACAAATGATAACCTAAACCTGATAGTAGCCCCCAACTACTGAACTTCTCATGCTAATTCAAAATAATGTAAGTGGAGCCTAACAAGGTTACTAGCAGTTAACTTTGTCATAGGAAGACATTGACAAATAAAGCTATTACTTGCTCAATACAATTAGTTGTATAAAACAGAGGGTCTCCTAAAAGAAATTCTTTGTCTTTTTTTCTGGTATTGGAGTTTAAACTCAAGAACTTTATGCTTGCTCAGCAGCTCTCTATCATTTGAGCATGCTCCTGGTCCTTTTTGCTGGATTCTTTTTCTTTTTTGCTCCACCCCCAACCCAAATAGGGTCTCGCTTTTTGCCTGGACTGGCCTGAGCCACAATCCTCCTATTTAAGCTGCCTGAATTGCTGAGATGACAGGTGTATATCCTAGTGCTCAGCATTTTTTGGTAATTGAGATGAGGTCTTCTAAATTTTTCCCTAGATTGGTCTTGAACGATCCTCCGAATCTCAGTCTCACAAGGATCTAGGATTATAGACATGAGCCACTGAACCTGGCTGAAAATGAAATTCTTGACACTGAATATAGTAACTTTTGTGAAAACCCCACTAAATTGTACTACTCTCTCTGATATTTTCATAAGGGTTTATGATTTCTTCATGGAACACACTAGAAGTTTAGAGATCACTGACCATATTATATAGCCCTATAATAGCTATAGTATTCCCAACTTCACTTGGTTGAACTCACCCAACACCTTCCAAAAATAATCATAAGATCATTCATTCAGTAAAAGCTTCCAGTAAGCCATCTAAAGTCTACCCATGTACTAATACAATGTACAATTCCATTACTTTCAGATGATAAAACATGTAAATCTTTTAAAATAATATTTCTAGGTTTTGGTTTTTGATACATTTTAATGAGCTAATACCAAATTCTGATCTAAAACAAGACACCTAATAAAATACATAACTACCTGTCTCTACTAATCTATACCATTCTCCTCTTTCCAGACAAATAGATCCTCATATCTAAGAGGAACAAAGTTATTTACCTTTTCATTAATGACTTCTTTGAAAGCATATGGAAATATACAGTCCTTTGGTTTAGAAACAACTGTAAGAAGGAAACAAAAAGATTCCAATATCCATCTTAGTCCAAATTCAGGTAATATACATGTCTCCAAATGAAAACCACATTAAATATAAGTCAAATTTCCCCTAATTCCTACAATTAAGAAGGCCAAGCTGGGTTCCCGTGGCTCATGCCTGTAATCCTAGCTACTCAGGAAGCTGAGATCTGAGGATCTTGGTTCAAAGCCAACCCCAGCAGGAAAATCCATGAGAGTTTTATCTCCAATTAACCACCAGAAAACCAAAAGTGGCACTGTGGCTCAAATGACAGAGCACTCACCTTGAGCTGAAGAGCTAGGGGACAGCGCCCAGGCCCAGAGTTCAAGCCCCACGACAAAAAATTAAAAATAAAAAAAGGTCAAGTAGGGCTGGATATAGTTCAGTGGTAAAGTGCTTGCCTCACAAGTGCAAAGTCCTGGGATCAATCCCCAGTGCCAAAAAAGAAAAGACAAAAAAAAGTTTAAAAAAAAAAAAAGGGCTGGGAAGGTGGCTCAGTGGTAGAGCACTTGCCTTGCATGCCTGAGGCCATGAGTTCCGTTCCTCAGCACCACATAAGCAAAAAGAAAAAAGCCGGAAGTGGCACTGTGGCTCAAGTGGTAGAGCACTAGCCTTGAGCTGAAGAGCTGAGGGAC